AGCAAGGCAGCAGCACTGTTACTTCTGTGTGTGAATGGGGTTCAAGGAAACTATGGGGTGCTCTTCACAAAGGGCATTCAAGATTCTAAATTGAAAACTACAACAGCGCAAAGGGTTTTTAAATCACGACTGTAGTTCTGAGCTTCACAATGTGTCACTTGCTGAGTTATTCTTACTTGATGATTCCTATTACCAGCCAGGCACCACATGAGGCCTAGAGACTCAGGTCTGTCTAACATCAGCAAAGCCCAGTCAGCAGAAACCTCCAGGAGACCTGCAATAGATGGGACAATGACATCTGGGAAAAAACTGACCAAGTTAGAGCACTGCAGTGGAGTAGACCCGGGGTTATGGATGGAGCCTGGGAGAACAGACCATTCCAGAAAAGTAGGGTAGTGACTTATAGGGTTAACAGAAATTCAAGAAACAAAATGACAAAACATATACTAGCATTGGCCCATTTCTTTATACTACTGTGTTGACATGTACATTCAAATACGAGAACTTTAAAATGTCATTATTTCTAAGAGTGTGACATCCTCTGTTAGTTTTAACTATAGATTTCCCTGGCTGGTGTTTTGTATCATGCTGAAATGTAATTTTAAAATTAAATTCCATCCACCCTGATCCCAGCTAACTGAAAATGGCAAGCATGAGTCAAGTTAATTGATTTTCTGCATCAATCACTAAAAAGCTTTGAAAGAGTTTGGGGTGACAGTTATAGGCTAAAGAGTGACATTACTGAGGCAACTGATTGGGGCAAGCTGGGACCTTACAGTTTGAACAGAAGATGACAATACTCAGAGAGGAGACAACCTCCTGCTTCTCTGTGCTACTTGTCAGCCAGAGATTCTTCATTATGTATCTGAGGATCCAGCCACTCCTTGAGTGGGTAACTCCAATGAAACAGAACTAACACTGTGACTCAGGGTTCCCAGGCAGGTGCCCTCCAAAGATTACTAAGAGTATGGTGTACACCACAGAGAGGAAATCTTCATGCATTCTCAGGAAAGAATAGAATAGCAAGCAGTACTAAAAGAAAGGAATACACAAATTGAGTATGTCCACATAGAGAGCTGCTATTCACCAAAATAGTCAATGACTGACAACCACCTCTTGGGATGAAGCTCCAAAAGGAGGCCCTGTCAAAACAGTCAGACGCAGAAGGCAATGAGGCTCATGGAGTCCCTCCCACAGTATGCACATCCTGCTTCGTGTACATGAAGCCTTCACAAAATGGTTAGAAAATTAAATGAGACAAAAACTAAACATATCTACCTCCCGATTCTCAGCTCTCCCACAAACCTAGCCTGGTTTGGTGTTCCCAAATAAAGCAGATATAAAATATTCGTTTGAATTAAATCAATTCTAGGTTAATGAAAAGCCCTATTCTCATTTTAAAGACCAATAATGGAAACTTCCTTGGGACACATAGGTGTTGAGGCTACGAGCATCTGGCCATCCTTCTCTGGATCCCAGCACTCTCTTCACTAATTCACTTTGCAGTGCACTCCAGCGGGAGCTACTGGATTCTAAAAGACTATCAAATCTTCCCATGAAGGGTGGGCTGAACTGGCTGCAGGTAGAAGGATAAAGGAGGGTAAGAGGAGGATGCTAGGAGCCAAGGCTTGCATGGCTCAAACACTTACACACCTAAACTCATATGCTGCTCTCACCAACTGCACAGGAGGTGTTTATTTCTCACTTGATGGATGTAGTAGCATAAGGATTCTTTTTTTGTTTGTTTGTTTGTTTTCAAATTGCCCTCTTCTCAAGCATTCAAGACTTATCTTTGCAACGATATGTGAAAGGGCCTACATGAAATGGCTAGCGAACAGCAAGTATAGCTTTAAACTGGACCCCACAACAATAGGATCAAGCCCCTGAGAGCTTGCCATGCACACACAGACGTAGAGGGCTTTGAATAACATTGAGGGACAGAGGTGGAAATAAAAACAAACTTTTAAAAAGAAGCAGCAACGATTGTTCTAATGCATAAACCATAATAATTTATTCATGCATACAAACACCAATTGTTTTATAAAAGCCTTAAACTTAAGAGAATTGTCTTTTATCATAAATCAAATCAATAGCCCTTGCTTTCTTGAAGCTACTTCGCTCACCAAGATAATTTAATAGTAGCACAGTATCATCAGATGTGAGACCAGACTAGATAATATGGCATGTGCAAGACATATTCAAACAAGTGACAGAAAAAGTTGGGAACTTTGAAAAAGTTCTAAAGAGTATCTTGCCTTAACATAAGATCTTCAATGTAAAGTTTTATAAGGTAAGACTCAAAATTATTTTTAAACTTTTAATGGTATTTACATCATTTTTCTTTCATAAATACCCACAGAATTAATATATGTTCCCAATAAAGAAAATCTACAAAGATTTTCCCAACAAGTGGCAACAGGTAGACTTCCTTTCTCTGCGTTTTCTTTATGCATCAGGATACTGCAAGGAATACCCATCACAAAGAAAGCAACCAAAACCCCAAGTCTCATAAAGACAGTTGCACATGGACAACCACCGAGGGGCTCTAATGGCAGCATCCCATGCATTCCCTAAGCTTGTCTGTTTTTATTTAATTTTAATAACAAATACACACAGCACTTAGGAAGCACTAGGCACTGTATGAGGTAAGTTAGAAATGCAAGGTCACCTGCTCATTGCAACATCCCATCCAATTGGATTTCATTGTCTACATTATACAGATGATAGGGCCTGAGGTTAGAAAAGTTTTGTAGGATACTGACACACCCAGGGCTACTCCAATAGCTGTGCCTTTGTCAGCAGCTTGTCTGTTTTTGCTTTGTCTGGAAAGGGACAGTGGAATCATAAGATGCTTCTTTCTAGTACTAGGTCATAAGTGTCAGGATGGCCAAGTGGTCTAAGGTGCCAGACTCTAGTATTAGGCCCTAATGTCTTTTCAACAGTGTCCTCATCAGAGTGCAGGCCCTGACGTGGTTGCCTGTGAAGGTATCAGGAGACCTTCCTAATAGAGAAAGAGGGATCACCCAGTAGGCCAGCGTGAACAGCCCAGTCCTGATGAGCCTGCAAGTACTGAAGGAGGCAGAACTACTACCTGCTTTTAGCACAGCCTTGTCAGGAGATTTGGATTTCACATAGGGAAACTTTACTTCCCTGCTTTTGTTTTCCCTTTCTCCAGAAGTTGCCTCTTCACAGTCTGGGCCAGGTATATATATTAACTGACTACTCTTTACTTAATTGGTTTAATTTATATTAACCCAGTTATTTAAAAAGTAGTCTTCTTTACTCAAGTTTTACACATGGTGTCAATAAGTAGTTAAGCTTTATTAATATGTTCATAAGTCAAGTGTAGACATCCGACCAATTAAAAAGCAGTGCATATTTTTAACTCAGAGCGAGGGAAAGCCAGATCAGAATTCAAAACGTGGAAACATTAAAAATAGCCTCGAAGTTATTTTTGTATATGTGTATGACATCACACATTAAAAAAGAGAACACTATATGTCTCACAAACATATACAATATGGAATGGAGAGAAAAGTGAAGAGGATTTGAGCATGAATTGGACATTATTGCTTCAGGGTAAGCAATAACATGAGGTAATATAGAATTTAGGAATTTAATATAACACCACAAGAACCAATCAAGAAACTTAAAAACAACTACCATGCTGGCACCATGCTTTTCCAACCTAAAAATCATGGCCTATTGTATGTTTTAGTAACAAAGTCTCAGCTCATATAGAAACAGGCATTTAAAACCTTGATTGATAAGAATTTACTTATATTGCTTCTCTGGGAGGACTGGAAACTGTGTGCCTGATAGGAGCAACCTCCCAGAGCATAAGTGTTCCCTTAGGGCACCTCAGGGGCAAGGGCAGTGGCAGGCCAGCCCTACCCCCTCTGCCCCACCTGTTTCCTCCCTCAGGAGGTCCAGATTTGCAGGCTCTGTGTGAACTCTCTTCTTACCTGATGTTCTCAGGACAGACAAGCTTCTCTGATTTACTGACCTTTGGAGACCACTTAGTGCTGTTTGCCCTCACTTTGCCAAGGAGGAAACCGAGGCTCCGAGAAGATCAAAAGCTGTCTAGGTTATCAACAACCACAACAGAATCAAAGTCTATAGAACTCACTGTCCAGATTCCCAGGCCAGTGTTTATCCTAACCAACTACTTTCAAGGCCACCCTTATGCATCTATACACCAATACTGGAGAGGGCTTCATTACATGAATATCCTTGCCCATCCTTGAATGAAGAAATGTGATTGTTAATTCACTGAGGAGGAGGAGGAGGGGATGGCAGCCAGCAACATTTAAGTGTTATGAGTCAATAGAAATAAATTTAAAAATAAGATGAAGTCATTATTTTAAAAAGTTCATCTCTTCTCTAAAAGTCAAATGAATAAAATACCTAAAACAGGTTAAGGAAGCTTCTAATTAATAGAAGATACACATGTGCACACATGCACATGCACGCACACCCACACCCACACCCACCACAGCAATATTGATAACACAAATAGTTATGAGACTTTATTATTTATTACATCCTAGCACTTGACACAAGCCTTCACATGAAATAATATCCCTACAACATAGATATTACTGTTTTTATACATGAGAAAAATTGAGCCAAAGCCTATGCCATCAGTGGTGTTATCAACTGTTATGTTTTGTCCTGATTATGTGTGCTTGTGTGAACACATGTGTAATGAGTGAATGCTGGTTTTCTGGAGCTAAAATCAGGGAAACGCTGGGCCCTGGGATACCTCGGATGACACGTTGTACCCTACCTTCAGGGTTGTGAATTTCTGTCTCGGGACATGATCCTCTCTTTACAGGTCATTCCCCCAATATGTGCCACAGTCTAGTATTTCACAGACTGGATGAAAGATGTGTATGACCAAAGTCACAAAATATTATTTACAAGTAATTTTATACACAGAGGAAGCACCACAACGTCCAACCTCTGTTCTTCTAGAAGGGTGAAGAAGGCACACTTACCTTGACTTCAAACTCGAAGTGTTCATCCTTTCCTTGACCACACAGGACGTAGCGGGGAATACTAATCTTAATGGGGTCCTTGAGGTCGTCTGGATTTGCTCCCAAAGAACGAGAATACATCCGCTATCAAAGGCACATCAGACAAGGAAAACAAAGAGAATGGAGCATCACTGTGCCGTGGCCAATAGCCTGCTTCCGCAGGAGAGACCAAATGTCTCGAGTAGAGAAAGGAGCATGAAATCAGTAGAGTTTATTTAGAGAATTGATAGCTTTCTTTTGAAAAAGACATGCTAAGCCTCTCTCCTAACAAAACACCATTTCTGTAGAAAGTTAGGGCAAAGACACTCCAAAATGTTGTTTGGCTTTGAAATTCCTTCCAATTTATAAGATCAAGTAAAAATAGGGACAGATTAGATTACACTTTCTACCTTAAAAAAAAAAAATCGGTTTCTTTTTTTTTAAAACTCTTTATCAATTAAATATTTTTTTTCCTTCACATATCTGACTGGTTCATAAAGCTGTACAACCTGGGCATTTTGTTCAAATTCAATTCATCTTTAACATTTGGATGTTTTTATAATGAAGTCACTGTGGTGTGGAAATCTATGTAAACCACAATTAAGACAAAGCGCAAGTATTTTCTTTAGGCTCTATTTGATTGATAATTGACTTGACTGACAAGTATTTATGTTCTGGGTGGCAGGAAGCCAGAGGGGTCAGTGGAAGATGCAGTATAAAAAATTAATTTTCAAAATGAGTTCTTGAGTACAAACAGGAAGAAATCTCCAAATATTCATAATTTATACTAACCCGGGGCTTTAGAGAACATCAAACAATGTGTTTTTAAAGCAGTTGCAGGAAAAAAAATAATTAGAATCACACTTATATTTGCTGAATACTTACCATATACTGCGGGTATGCTAACCAGTTTTCATACATTAATTCTATCGATCTTCATGATGTCCCCAGGAGGGGCTAACCATTATGAACTCTATCAAATGAGAAGGGGGGCAAGTTTGCTCTAGGAGGCAAGTGGGCTGAAGTATGAACATCACACTAGTACATTAGTCTGATATTCAATTTTAAAGTGAGGCCATCCATCTAAGATAAACGGAGCTAATGAGTACATCACATGTGCACAAAGTGTTGGAAACTCCATCAATATGCAATAATATTGAAGTTTCTGACCAAAAAGAAACCAGTAGGCAATATATGACCTGTTTACCAGGGATAAAGGGGCTCTGGGGTCTAGGTAGGTACTCAAAAATTTGGTGCTACCTGGCTGGCTGCCTCTGTGACAACTCAGACCACTGAGTGTCACAGAGATGGACAATTTCTGAATGGAACTAGCTGACAGAGTCAATATGTTGGCACTGCTGGAAGTCACCAAAGCCTTTTTAGAGTATCATGATTCCCCCCCCCCCCCCCCCGGTGATTGGTCACCCACAACAAGAGCCACTGTTTGACACACGCATATCTAATTATCTGTCACTGATGTCAAAAACCAAACTGGAAATGCTTAGAGGTGTTTTTCAATATGAGCTCTGCTGATCACTTTGACTCACTGACAGCCCATGCCCAAATGACTTTAAATATAGACCTTCCCTGACAAGCGACATGTTTATACATTTAAAGATGGGAAGGGAAAAATAGAGAATTTTGTTGGTCTATTTATAAGAACATGTTTAATGATAAACAATAGCTCTCACCTCCATATGTCAATATTTAGCCTTAAGTCCTTGCTTTGTTTCCCTTGATCCCCTCCATGTCACATGTAGTACCTAAACTACAGACCCAAAACGATGTCTTAGGATCATCTGTGCCTATGTGTAGGCTGCAAGCTATAGGGTGAGAAATATCCTGTACTGGTCACAACTCTGGCAAACAGGAACCGCTATTGTGGAATTCGAAGCAGTAACTAAGAACTGCCAATACTGCTGTGGTTGGCTTCCCCTTCCTCTTCTATAGTACCTAGCTTCCTTCCTTCCTTCCTTCCTTCCTTCCTTCCTTCCTTCCTTCCTTCCTTCCTTCCTTTCTTTCTTTCTTCCTTTTCTAGTTCAGTTTCAAAATGAAATAAAACTGAATCCTCTAGTCTGGCTGCATAGTCTATCCTATGACTAATTAAGTTTTTCATATTGAAGAACGCAGCTGTGAAAACCAATCTCTAATGCAAGCAGGGGAACTTAAGGCTCAGGTCAGACATCCTCGAAGAGAAAGTAAAACAACATACCATCCGCCAATGACAATGTTCCTAGGTGTGTGAGTTGAGTGGGGATGCATTATGAGAATCAGCTGGAACTTAAATATCTATACATCTCACATCAACTTAGGGCCCCATGCTGGCTTGTTTTTATGTCAACTTGCTACCAGCTAAGATCATCCAAGAAAAATGAATATTAATCAAGAAAATGCCCCCAAGCACACATATTGGGCCTGTAACAAGCCTCTGGTGTATTTGATATCACTGATGTGAGAGGGTCCAGTTCACTATGGGCAGTGTCACCACTGAGCTGGTGGTCCTGGGTACTGTAAGAAGGCAGGCTGAGCAAGCCACAAGAAGCAAGCCATCAAGCAGCACCCCTCCACAGCTTCTGCCTATAGATTCTTGTCCTCTTTGAGTTCCTGCCCTAATTTCTCTGAATAATGGATTACAAGTTTTAAGATGAAATAAATCCTTTCATTCCCAAGCTGGTTTTGTTCATGGTGTTCATCAGGGCCACAGAAACTCTAAGACAGGCACCCTTTCCACACCTACACCTGTATGTGGACCGGTATGGTTTCTGACACTCAATCAGGAAGAGACACTGAAGTATGACAGATCCTTTGCTGGAAGAAAGATGTTCCTCTCCTCATTTCTCAGTATGCTGGAGATGAGAAATATTGCCAAGCTACTGCTTTCATCCTTGAATACAGCTTACTTGGGTATAGTTTCAATCACATTGCTTTCATATCAAACAAATTATTAATGAGCATTTAGAAATAAACTACAACAGAAATGAATAAGGGTCTATGACTGCACCACCAAAATGTACCTGATCTTATCAGAAGTTGAGTACTCAGGGATCCGAAGATCCTGAGTCTAAACAAATTTGTCTATCTGTCTAAACAAATAGATGATTTAGAGGGAAAAATGTAAAATGAACATGTTTCCACCAAGTTACTACTGCAGGGTTGTAAGCATCTGGCCTGTAGACATGTAACGGTGGCCACACCCCTTCGGGTGTGGCTTCAGGCAGATGAAGGCTGAAAGAGAGGAGCTTGAGGCATGGTTTTCCTTGTCTTTGATCTTTCTGGCTGGCCAGTGGATCCAGTAGGAAGAGCAGAGAAAGGCTCCAGAGGTTCTTTGTATTTTTCTGTGTAACTGTTCCCCAATAAACACCCATTTATCATTTATCTTGGGTATAGTGATATAATTACATCCTTGCTTTCACAGAGTAGTTTTATTATAATTACTTTATGAGGTCAATTGTATGAGAAATATAGAATTCTCAGATATAGCTGTGAAAAGTTTCTACATTCTCCAAAAATGTTAGTCTTGGGCAGTGAGAAAAACTAATGTCTCATAAATGTTGTCTTGAATGTATGTGGCTGTATTTTGAATATCTGGTTTTACCCTAGACACTGAGTTACATTACATCACATGGTTTATGAGTGCTTTTAAGTATAATGGCATTAAGTACAGTGTTTATATTTTGGAATAAGTCACCTTTCCTTCAGTGGACAAGACTCCTAGACTCAACAAGGAAGGTGGAGACACATCAGCAAAAGATGTAGAGAGCTAAAAAGACCTGCTGTTAGAAAGCAGCAATTTCAGTGTGGGCAAATAGGTAAAATGTTACAAGAACCTTAAAATGTCCAGTGGAATGGTTCCACTGGGAAATAAAAAGTCAAGAACAAGCATGTAATCATTAACTTGGACTACATGTCTATACATAAGAGATATTATCTTTAAAAGTTAAATAAAAATATTTTTCTGTACTTAATGAAATATTACCCATGTGCACATAACATTTCTAAGAATTGTGACTGAAACATTATAGTTAGATCCTCAGCCAAAAAGCTAAAGCAGAGCTCTGGCTGCACTGTAAATACTTAGAGTTATCCCTTCCCACTTAGGCAGTTTCCTTCAAAAGAATCATATTGGGGAAATGAACAGGAAGTGACAATCATACCTGTGTGGCTCACTGTAGGCTGTGCAGGGGCACTGAGTGGCCTAATTCTACAGGGAGTCATCAACATCCTCCTAATCACCAATTATGTACCAGATGGTTAAATTCAGTTCACGCTTGACCATGACAAGGTCAGCCCTAAGACTGTCATCTAATCTCCTGAAGCCCATAACAAAGCTTTGCTTAAAAATTACAGGTAGATCAGGGTTTTTGTTTTCTCCCCTTTAAAATTAGATTAAACTCTGCTCTAATTTAAATCAGACCTACCAATTCTCCTGTCTCCCTATCAAAGCATATAAGTCTAATTCTTCCTTTTCTAAAATTGCACATGCCAGGGTGATAGTTCTAGTTAGAGCTATTATACATCAGTCACCTTGTTATGTCACAGCAACTTGAAAAAGTGGAACCCCAGGCAGACCAATCAATAAAGAGTATAACAAATAGCCAAAAATAGTCAAAGCAGGTGTATACTCACTCCAGCAAGAGCACCCCGCTGCCAATGCCAGGAAGGACCTTGGCTTAATACCATCCTGTCTCTAAATGCGCAGGAGACCTGGCTTGTTCAGATTTTACTAAGCTATGTGACCGGCTATGTTACAGCAATCATTTCTTGGTTCAAATCATCTAATGTGAAATGAAGAATGATGATAGATTATCCTTTACAGGACAAAGGAACAAACATATGGGCGACAGCTCCACATTTTGAAAAGCCACAGTGCACAAAGTAGTCAGAATTATTGTTACCATCGTAATCCACCTTGTTAATAAAATTTTAACAAAACAAGGGCCAGAGTAATGATATACAAAAGAAACCTGTTCCTTTTCAAGGTGACTGCTTATCACCTTGCTTAACAAGGAGCTTTCAAAAATGACAAAAGGGGCATCCTAAACAGATTGGGTGGTAATGGTTTGGAAGCTGTTGCTCAAACAGAGTAGAAACACGAAAAATGG